CACACACACACACACACACACACACACACACACACACGCACACACACACACACACACACACACACAAACACACAAACAAACACACACACAAACATGCATATAACCGTCACTACAAAATCAAACAAGTTTTTACAGTTTTGGTGGAAGGTGGACACTTCAGACATTTTTTGTTTTTTCAAAACCACCAGTGCATTTCCCAGTTAATATGGTCCAATGCTGGGGTTAACACTTCACATCCCTCAGGGCTCGGCCTACCGATAATGCAAAAGGCTGGCAGCTCCAAGCAAACGGGTGTGATTTTGCACCTGCGCCCGTGCCAATTGGGCAAAACTCTTGGCGCACAGCAGAAATCGGCATCGGAAAAAAGAGGGTTCAAACGTGCCGGTGGTTTTAAGGAGTAGCCCCTAACGTTATCGTACTCGTCTGATTCCGTCAGGATTTGAACTCGTCATCCGTTTACTAAAAGCTACATGTGTGTAGTGCTCTGTGTACCGTTCAGCCACATGGGCTGGGTTATACAGACATTTTCTCTTCCCCAAATAACTGAAACCAGTGGGGGAGGGGGACAGGGCGGGGGGGGGGGGAGAGAAGACACAAGAGGAAGAAGCGTGTGTGACATATGAAAATGCGTATACGACATTATGTAAATGCATGCAATGCATGCATACGCACACATACATACATGCATGCGTAAATTTATACATACATGACATTTCAAACGTCATCAACACATAACACCAAACAAGCCCAATCCTGCGGCAGCTTCGCCATGTCCATGTTCCTCTACTCACCATCTTCAGTGGATTGCTCTGTCTCTCTTCTCGGCACCCTCGTCTCTATTGTGCCTGCCGGCTGACTCCGTAAGAGATCCTGCGATTTGTTATCCCTCTCTCTCTCGCCTTCTGTTGTTCCTCGCGATTTGTTATCCCTCTCTCTCTCGCCTTCTGTTGTTCCTCCATTTCCTGATACGTTCAGAAGAACCTGACCACCATCATCATCACCATCACCATCATTTTGAAACAACACAAAACCAGCAGAACTTTACCATCATCACAATCAGCATCTTTTTTTTTTTTTTTTAATCCCTTTCTTTCAAAAAAACGAAAAAAAAAAAATCACAACCAGCATCTTTTTTTTCTAGGTTGCCCGGTCGGGCCATATATAACAAACAGAGCTGCCCGGTAAACCGTAGGCAGAGAGGGAGGGAGAAGAGGACAACAAACGAGGGGCTGTGACAACTGTTTCGTCGGAGTTTCACCTATCTACTCATCAGGAAGCTGAACCCTCAACAATCTGGAGAATTCCTTAACTGATTACACTGTAAGTGATAATTCACCTTAATCCCGGTTGTGGTTAATCATCAACGACTGCCTGACAAGTGATACCTTGAGGTGGGCACCAACCACTGCCCTCAAGGTACCCGTGACGAAAATCAAAGCATAAAATAAAATTTTGAACTTTATTTTTTATTTTGAATTTGGTAAATTTTTTTTTTTTTTTTTTTTTTTTTTTGGGGTGTGATCACAACTGTCTATATTCTTCTCTCAACTTCTGTTTTTGTTTACCTTCCACTACCTACTGGCAGGTCTCGGTCTTTGAGTTAGCCAGACCCCCACTGGCGGCCCCAACCCTATACCCTAACCATTAGGGGCAAGGGGCAACATGAAATCCCCCCTTCACAAAGAGAGGAAAACTATGCTTGCAGGGGTCCCCTCTAGATAGTCTTGATAAAGAATTTCGATGTGACCCTGAGGCAAAAGTTGTTCAGTTTATTTTTCTGCATAACATACTTTTAAACTTTTTCAGTTTTTTTTTTTTTTTTTTTTTTTTTTTTTGCTGGGAACTTCTTTGGCCGTTGCAAACAAGGTGCCACCCCGGGCGGCCCGGCTGGTAGCCTAGCTTCTTTTTTTTTCTTTTTTCTTTTTTTTTTCCTTTTTTTCCTCTTTTTTTGAAAGAAACCTCACCAACATTTGTTTTTTGCTTGTGAAATAAAGAACGCAGCACTTCACCACCTCACAGGAATTGTGTCTGCAAATGTTGCAGCCACTGTCGCTGCTGTCGGCGGCACGGCCTCGCGTGCGGGGTAATGCTGATGGCCGTCGACGTATGAGGCACTCAGCTACCATCGTCTTCGTCATCATCATCATCAGCAGCAGCAGCAGCTGCTGCAGCACGCATACGGGTCTCCAAGTAAATCTTACAAGGCCGTATTCCCCACACACACGACTTGGCGTTAGCGCCTTCTCTTCATATTATCCTTTGATAGGGTCGAGTCCCCCGGGCCATGGAAAGTGGAAAAGGGAAACGTTTGAAAACATTAGAGGCACTATTCAATTTGCGTCGAGTTGTCGACT